TGAGGATAAGATTGAGCGGCTGGGATTGGATTTGATGGAGCCGAGGCCTGTGGATCCGCTATTGGGGGTGGGGTTTGCGTTGGATAGTATGGATGATAGTGTTTTTGGGTCGATGGATGGCGGGGTGTTGGAGAGGAGTGGTTCCCAGCCGCGGTTTGTGATGGGTGGGATTTTTGAGGTTATGGAGGGGAGGGGGTGATTCTGATCCCGAGGACTATTTTATGGATTGTTTATTTGGTGATGGGTGATGGTATTGGGGTTTGGGATGATTGGAGTAATTAGGGTTGTTTGGTTTGTTGGGTTTGAGCGGGCTTACTTGATTAATTTCTTGAATTGGAATTGGCGGATACCTTGTGATTTGTGAATTGTGATATTAGTTTTGTTTGTTTGGTTGGAGTGGAGTGGAGTGGAGTTTACTTTTGAATTATTTTTGTTTAGAGGGTTTGTTGCGTGTTTGCTTGCTACTTTACTTTACTTCTCTATCTTCTGATAATGATTCTCATTGAATCTGATTATCTGAATATTCTCCTGCTATGGACATATCATTCAGGACAATGAATGCACTGCATATCTTGCAGATTAGCATACATAATGAACATTTCTATTATTCCTTCAATTTGCTTGCTTGCTTCAGTCCACATATCTTTTGCATCTAAACATGGGATAAAATAGAACAGAATGCTGAAGAAATACACTATCCACTTGTTACTGATGCGACCAGTGTACGCACACACACAGAACTCCGTAATTTTCAAATAGAAAGAAAGTGAAGGGGAAAAGAAGATGCAATTGAAACCACCGGGGTATCTGATATCAAGACAAGACGAGGAAAGTCACCATGTAAAAGTTTGAACAAAGCAATGGAGTATGTTGAACCCTCTTCCCCTGAGAACAATGTGCAATGCGAGACAAGAACGCAAGATGCCCAACACCCCTGGGTAAAACCGATAATGGCATGTTTACCTGATCTCAACAACAAGAGCAGGCAAAATGCGATCAATATTGCTAATCATCGACTCAACGTGCACTCTCATGCGATGCATATGATATCATATCATATCATAATACGAAATTGACAAGAGGGCTGAATTATTGCAGAGTAAATGAAAAAAAGAAAGTAGAAGAGGGAATCACCCCCTCTTCGCCTTCCTCTGATTCGGCCAAAGCTGACCACGACAATTACTCTCCCCACAAAGACAAGGCACAGCATTCGGATCAACCTTCCTAACCTTCTCCCAGCCGGGATTATAGTCAAACGTCAATTCCGTCATGGGTGGTACATCTCTCAGCGCAAAGAAAGCCAAGTCGTACAGGTAATCGTCGGCATGGTTGCGAGTCACGGGAATTAGACGACAGTTCGGGTTGCACGAGTGATTTATAAATCGTGTTGGATTGCCGAATCGGTGTCCGTCTATTACGTACTTGCTGTCTTCGCCGGTGGCGAGGAAGTCAAGACTGAATAGATATGAAGGGCCTTTTTGAGCTGTTGCGTCTTCGCGGATGTCGGCTACTTCTTTGGTGATTACTTCCCCTAGGTAGCAGTCGATGAATTGACCTGCGCGGATGGGGTCGGGGGAGCGGAGGCCTTTTTTTTTCTTCGTTAGTATATATATAGAGGATTTCTGTAGGGACTATGAGCTGGGAATGGAATCATACCGAACCCTCGGTTACCGGTCCAGAAAATTTCCAGTCGGACTGTCCGGCCATTCTGCACTACTCGATTCCAGCAGCGTTCATCACATCCACATCTCGAACTACATTCGTAGATCATGACCTTTCGTTTTAGGAACTCCGGTGTAAGAACCAGCAATCGCCCGTCATCATCGGCCCGCTTGTACGGGATCATTGGGTCATTCGTATCCTCTTCCTTGCTGAGGCAGAGACATCTCGCTGGATCGCAGAATCCGTCACAGCTACATCCCGCAAGGAACTCCTCTGGGACAGGTGTGACCCCTTGTCGTAGCTTATACGTATTCACAAACTCAAAGTTGGCTGCAAACTGCGCTAGCTGGTGCTGGTCCCCCGATGCAAAGGTTACTTTAGGGCCTCGGATCTTCGCGAGTTTCTGCTGCAGGGTTTGGTGCAGCTGGGCGCTGATGTCCGGTTTAGATGTGAGTAGTGGGCCAGGGGCGCCGATAGTGAATGGAATGGCTGCTCGATCCACTTTCCGGGCCACGGGGTATGCACCCTTCAAGGCGCGTTTCTCGTACGCGTCGGTTGGGTAGAAGTCCTCGGAGAGGCCGATTGGAGATGGGATGGAGATCACGTCGGCTGAATCGATTTCCTGTTGCTGGCGCCGAGAAGGTGAGGGGATGACTACGCTGAGAGAGATGGGGCCGGGACTAGGGGTCTGGAAGGAGAGGGACCGGCGAGTGCTTAAGAGGGAGCTCTGCTTTCTGTCTTCATCCCCGTCTTGGCTGCGGCAGGGTTCTTGTTTGGTGGCTGCGAGGGTAAGGGGTGAAGATGAACGAGTAGATGTTGCATTAGACTTGATTTGCAGAGGTCTGTTTTCCTTGCCAGCAGAGGAAACGGTGTTAGGGTTAAAGAAAGAAGATCGAGCGGCTGGCACTCGGCGGTGGCTTTGTAAAGACTTGACGTCCTCATCTTCATCGTCATCCTCTATCTCGATAGAGATGGCGTGCTGATTGGCCCGGTTAGTCGGTTGTGGTTGGGAAAAAGACCGCGGCTGTGACTGCGGCCGGCGGGGCAGGAAGGATGCCAGCAGTTCATCTACATCTTCAGATTTTCGTTTCGAAGGAACTGAGGAGGCAGGGCGGTGGGTGAGAGTAGAAGGGGACTTGGGGATGTTGTTCTGAAGATGTGGTGCTGACGATGGCACATGATTCTGGATGTATCAAGTCAGCTGATCCTCTCACGAACTATAGCGAGGGTGGTGCAGTGAATGAGTAAAGCATAATTGTTAAGGTCACAAGAACATGTCTCAACTTCAAGTATAACAGAAAAGAAATCAAATGTGAGACTGTCAGATATTGTTTCTTTCGAGAGATTAAAAAAGAAAATAAAACAAGAAATGTTGTGGCTTTTGTATAAGTTTTCACAACAAGAAACATCCATGCATGCAGTATAGCCGCTAGCTCACAAACTAGATAGACAACTAGCCGCATGAACAACACCAGATAACACGACACCAACCGAACTTGAAAGAGCGAAAATGCGTAAAAGAACAACTCACCTGATTTCTCTCCTCCGAGTCCGAGTCAAGCGTAAGATCGATAACCATGGTGGGAGAGTTAACAGGCGCTCAGGTAGGCAGTAAATTCATGGGTATAGAACTATCACAAGAAAGACACGCTGATAGGAGACATGAGACTGTGGCTGCTGAAGATGATCTTTAGAATAAAATCAAGTCTTGGAGTTAGGAGTGAATTAAAAATAAGACTAGGCTATTTTAGGAAATTATAAGTCAGGTGATTATAAATTAATTAGTTTAAATGTATTACTAGCTATTAAACACTACAGTCCTAGATCAATATAACTGACAAATTAATCTTTTAGTAATTATAAAGATAAAGGATAAGTCACAAGTGATACTGCATCATCCCTTATCCTGAACTTCTGCTGCTATGCTAGTTCGTGGTATCAAAAAACCACTTGATAAATAAATCGAGCAATTCTAATCTGGCCAATAAGGTTGAGTATTGAGAGAGTAACCATAAAAGGGGGCCAACCGTCTTATCTTTGCATAGTTCCGCCCATCCAAAACAACAAATGCAGACAAAAAAGCATCATACCAGCACATACCACAAAACTTCAAAAATAAGTAATAAAACCATATAAACATATAGAATAATATATTTCAAATCATCTCTGATAAACTACTCCTAAATAAACACTCTAGTAAAGACAGTAGAGCGATTCATACTGACTTTATTTAATTCTTTTTGTGTCTGTGGCATTATTTCTTGGCATGTCATCCGCCTTATGACTAATCATATTGAAACATGGTTCATGGTTAGTTATAGAACAATTGGCACTGATAAGTCCTCGAGAACTGTGCAAACTTACATGAACTTCAAGATAAGGTATATTGATCTGGTATTGAAAGATCCATGCTATGCGACGATGCTCAGATACTGCACAACACCCTATACTTCGTCTCTTAGCGTCCTTCTGGTCCCTAGACTAACCAAGCTAAACCCTACGGCATCACGCTAAAGGGGCCAACTGGCTACTGGCAGGTGCATAATCTGGCTTCCGCTTTCTGATCGACATATCCCGTAGATGAGATGAGCTTTGGGGTATGAACTTAGTGGGTCTGTAACATTGCAATTTTTAGTCGATCGAGACTATATACTAGTGGTGTATTGTTTAAAGTGGACAATCAAACAAACTATATACAGATGAGTATGAAATCAAGGCTTGACAAGACAGTAGATGTTGTTTGCTTAGAAGGTTCTTACTTTTGGCTAGCATCTGCTACTATAGCGTATCACGGACTTGACACCAGAACTCTAGAACATTAGTACAAGCATCCTAATCTACATCAGGCAAGATCTCAGGTCTCAGGTCTCTACACTGTAGGAGTTGCTTTGTAGTTGTAGGTAAACGCTGACACAGGTAAATGGCCAACGAACCAGAGTATTATGACTGCCATCAAATCTACCTATATCATAACCTTCAATGTGACTGAAACAGGGCCGACATTCCTACGCATGGTAACGCTCCATAGTCCTGCAGAGAGACAGAACTCTAACATAGGAAAACAGCCCAGAAATTATACAACAGGTCAAGGGTTCAAAGGCTCGGGGGGAGAAAACTGACGGAAATCCATGATGCATCCTGCTCGGTTCTAATGTACACCACGACAAACCGCTACCGGGGACGATGAGCCAGCTCAAGGATTATGCAGACCGAAAGTTAACATAAGGAAAAGGAACAAAAGAAACACGTGATGCTCATGCAAATGCTCATGGTTCAAGCCGATTGGCCCGAGTAAAATAATATGCAATCTGCGTGCAGGCGCCCCATTCACAATACTCTCAGAGTCTTAAAGCGTCCAGGATTTTCTTGGCCATTTCCCGGTATTGCCACATACCGCCTGCAACCTTCTTAAACTGGATACCATGCAGCGAGAACAGCGGCACCTTGACAATCAGAATTTCGAACCGGAGGACCAGGTTCTCGCCCGTATCACTCTGCACCCGGGTTGTAGTCTCTCCCATGACACGTTCGCCCACCACCACGTTGTCACGATGGTCCCGAGAGCCATCATCTTCGTCGGGGCCTTCAGAGTCTGTCACGAAACTTTGATCCGGTGGAGCACGAGTCCGACGCTGGCCCCGAGGCGTGTAGTGTCGCGATTCGTCTCGCTCATCATGGTTCAAAAAGCCCCCGAAGCTGATGCGGCGACGATGGCCCGAAACATGTCCCTGACGGTCTGGGCTGGGGGGTCCGACATCTACTACTTTGTCCAGGTCGATGCTCGGTGCGTGGCGGCAGCTAAAGCCGCCTTTGATCTCAACGTATTCGACGGAGAGCTGTTTCAAGACCCTGATGATATCAGCCCGAATGACTGGCAGAGGTTTGCTGCTGGTTGTTGAAACACTGAAAAGTCCCTTCAGATACACCGGCTTGGAGAGGTCCTCTCCTTCGTTGGCACTTTCTAGTGCCGTACCGGCGCCCGATATGTCCGCGTCGGTCTCCTCAGGAACGTTGGCCTCGCGCGTTGCTTCCCGTCTTGCCCTCCGAGCCTGGATACTCTCGCGTCGGGCATGACCCAGTGACATTGTCCGGGCTGTGTGTGTACGGGTCAACTTGGCCTCCTTTCCGGGCGTGGTTTCTTTCTGCACGTTCGCGTAGTCGGAGCCGCTAGTGGGAGGTGGCTGGGCTGCCGCATCCGCTTCGTGTCTGCGAGAACGACGAGCTCGGTAGTCTGCCGAGTTCACACTTGCAGATCTCTCCAAAAACTTGTTGGACCGCGAGGCCGGCTCGGCGGATCCTGGAGCCTTGAGAAGATCCTGGTGCTGTGGTTGACTACCAGCCGTGTGAACGGCTGTCGGAGACGGGTCCGCGCGTCGGGTTCTCTTAACGCTAAACCCTCTGGAAAGAGGCGAAGCCGAGTCGGCAGGGGGCTGGACATTCAAGGACGGCGTATGCGGGCTTCCAAGTCTGCCGCGTTCCGGGTCACGACTGCGCTCCTTGGTCCTTCGCGTACTAAATCGCCTTAGAATACCTGCTGCTGTGCTCTCCTTCTTCACCGGAGTCTCCGGCTGCGACGCAGGAGGTGCAGGAGAGTGCCCTGCTTGTGGGGCCAGATGAAGGTTCTTGATACCATCATTGAGATCATCGTCACCATGGGTCCTTGCTCTAGGACGAGACCTTCTCCCGGTATCTTTCTCTCCAGGAACGTGGTATTGGTTGGTGTGAGCGGCCTCTGGCGCAGGAAGGTCTGGCATCTGGAGCATCGAGTCCCCGCTAGCGTGCGGAACACCCAGCGCACCAGGGTTAACTTCGACCCGCTCTCTGTCAAGCTTCTCCTTTACGAGGTAGTAGACCGACAAAAGGGGACTATAGGCATTAACCGGGTCGTTGCCTAATTGAACAGCTTCGGCGGAGGGAGCGGACAGTGTGTCTCTGCTGGCCGAGTTTCGTCGCTTGTAGAAGTCGAACACACCGCGCTTCTTTTCGGTATGGCTGGGAGGAGGTTGGTCACGAGCCATGGCCTTTACAGCATGCTGATACTCCTCCGACTCGATGATTTTGGTGAGTTGTGTTGTAATGTATTCCGCGGATCCAAAATCAAATCCGGTCATTTTCTCGACCACCTCCGGATCCAAGGGGAGCTGTATCGGCTCACGGTATGGGAGGTAGTTGTCGGGTGCCCCATTGAAACCTTTGTTCATCCATGGGTGATTCATTATCTCTGACAGACTGGCACGCTGCTTGGGATCGGTTACCAACATGCGCGATATTATATGGCGACATTCTACAATGAAGTATTAGCATTTCGTAGGCGAAGATGGCAGAGGGGTCAGCTAACCTGTTGTGAGCCCGGGCGGGTACTCGAACACACCCTGCTTGATCTTGGCATGAAGTTTGGGCATGCTCTGATCGTCAAAAGGCACTTTGCCACAGACCAGAACATAGAGTACAATTCCGAAACTCCATACATCCACCTCCGGTCCGGTATATTGTCTAGCCTGTAGTAATTCCGGGGCTGCGAAGTAAAGACTGCCACAGAATGTCTTGAGAAGGCTCCTCGGGGAGAAAAGATTGCTCAGGCCAAAGTCGATGATCTTGATGTCGCCAGTCTTGCTGATCAGGATGTTCTCGATCTTCAGGTCACGATGCACGATACTATTGCGGTGGCAATAATCCAATGCGCTGGCGATTTGACGGGCGAACTTCCGAGCCTGCTTCTCTTTCAACTTGCCGTGGGAGATGATGTAGTCCAACATCTGGCCCCCATTGACGAGCTCGAACAACATATACCAATGGTAATTGGTTCGCACCACATCTCGCATACCACAAATGTACGGGTGATTGACGAGGCTGACAATGGCTGCTTCGCGGGCGGTGCGGATCTCTTTGGAGCGATCAGCTCTTTCGGCCTCGCGCGAGCTGCGGTGTTCCTCCGTAGATTGCCGGGGGACGATCTTAACAGCCACCTGTATGGAATCAGTGAATGAACGGAAAGAATCCGAAGGATGACAAGATGAATCACTTACCTGCTCGCCAGTATCCATGTTCTTTCCGACTTTGACCTTGCCCATACTACCTGCTCCCAGTGTTTTACCCAAAGCCCATTGACCCGACGGGGTTGTGATCATCGTGCGACGCTTTGTTTGTACGGAGTTGGTCGGGTGCAGGTGGGCGCCGGCAGCAGCCTGCGAATGTCCCGCAACACCCTCCGCCATGACGGGCCCCGCGGTAGCCATGTCGATGCTATCCCGTTGATGACCGTGTGCCGACAGATTCCGGTGTTGTTTGTGTGAAGGCTGTTCGGAGCGGTAGGAGGTGGAGGGGCGCTCCTGTGAACGCTCCCTGGAGGAGTCCCGACGGAACGGAACGGGTTGGGCACCCCTGGAGGCTTCAAAATCGCGACGGGCTATGTTGTCGAAGACGGCTTGATTCGAGGGAGGGCGACGATCATAGGACTGAGATTTGGAGTAGGAATGGGAATAGCGATTCTGCGAGTGATGATGATGATGGTGATGCTGCGGAGATGGCTGGGAGGCAGTCGCGGGACGGACCGCGACACTTCGGGTTCGGTGAGGGAGATCAGACGAGGGAGGACGATGGGAAGAGGAGCGAGAGGAGATGGACTGGCTTCGGACGACGGAGGGTGACGCAGTGGGAGGAGCAGCAGTGGACATCACGATGGGCAGGAAATTGACGAGGAGTTCCGAGCCAACCACGATTCAGCGCACTTCATCCACCCTAAGATCGCTTGGTGATCGAGGGGAGGGTTTCGCGTGAGGGCGGGATGCAGCCCAAAGGGAGGCCAGAAGACCGGTCGGGGAGCAAGTGGGAGCGAGTGGGGGAGATGGCGTTGGCTGACGGAGCAACTTTGAGGGAAGCGACAGCCTGCGTGGGTACGTCCAGTCTCCAGCGAAACGGCTTGACACACTCCTCCCCCATGTATTTTCGGAAGGCCTAGAAATTAGGGGGGGTGAGATGTGGGTAGGTGTGAGGGGAGGAGTAGTAGTATTAGTAGTAGAAGGGACGGGGCACCACTACTAGCGGAGCTGATGGGGGGGGAGGGAAATAGGAGAAAGGAGTGAATAGATACCACTCACAATAGAGTGAGTAAGTAAAAAATAAAAAAGAGTGAAAGGGGCGGGGGGAAGGAAAATAAGGAAAATGAGAAATGGACAAGGGGAGTTTGCGAAATGCAGAAAAGAGACAAGACAAGAGAAATGTGGGAACGGACTGGGTGTAGTACTACTAGTACTACTACTACTACTTAGTACTGAATGAGTACTGAGTGTTTGTTGGATTGACGCTGGGATTGCGGCTGGCAGCTGCGGAGAAAGCCAGAAACCAGACCAGACCAGGACCGGACAAGTCCAGCCAGAAATCAGCCAGGAATAGTAGTTCCCGGAAGACACACTAGAAAAGAGGGGATATCCCGAATAAATGTCTCTGATCTCCGCTGCACTCTGCTAGGCCAAGAATGTGTGAAGGGAAATGAAGGGTCTTGCTTGGCTTGCTTATTTTTTTTAAAAATAAAAATGCAGGACGTAATTATTCTTCGGGTTGAAGAGTGAATGGGGAGAATTGGAGAGCAGAGTAGATAATTAAAGAGAGAGAGAAAATGGGAAAGAGGAGTAGAAGGAGGGTGAGAGAGTCCGTCCGTGAGAGTCAAGAGCGGGAGGGTGAGGAAATGATGCCCATGCGACCTTCTCTCGTATTTTGCTTGCTGCTGCATGGATTCTGGCGGAATCACCAGGGCGATTGCATCGAGTTACGCAGGGGAAATGGAAACTGCAATTTCCATCCACTCATCTCCATCTGTAAAATATTTATCGTTACCTTACTTCTTGTTCCTCTTTACTTACTCTTCTTTTTACCCTTCATTTTCTCTATCGACGGGGATTCCATTCCTGTCTGCTTTCTTCCCCCCTCTCCCTCTCGGTAGAAATTAGACAGCTGCATGCACGTTCTCCATCCGAGATTACTATATTACTATATTGAATCACATAGTGGTTGCCTCCCAGGCAATAGTCTAGTTCCTCCATCCTTTTTCCCCTCTCATCAATCTCACCTCACCCCTACAGGTCGGATCAGGGACCCTGACAACTACTACTACTACTTCTCCGACCGCCGGTGGAACGAGACCATTTGATACGTCGGACTTTCGGTGTTTTGGGCACGGATGGGCATGATCACCTGGCCGAGGGACTCATCATCATCATCATCATCATCATCATCAATTCTGGGTCCTGACAATTTCAACCTGCTGGACGGTCCAAATTAAGTTGGTCGGATGAGCCCAGATTTATCTGCCAAGCACGTTCGGTCGCAGAAGTGGACATCAGATGCCCTCGTTCTGTTTTCGGATGCTGATGTTGGATCTGTCATCCGCCCCCGTGGCCATCATTTTCAATCTCGCGGTTAATCCGAGAACAGCCAGACTAGTAACTTAGTTAGTACGTAGTACCCCCGTAGCACTAACAATATATATTGTTGGGGTCTCTTCAAATACTACTATTAATTAATTGTCCAGCTGAACAAGACCAACACACGTAGCCTGAAATAATATCATCTCTCCCAGATCTGTTGACACATCTCATGATTCACAACAATGAAGGAATAGTGTGTGATACACATAAACATTAAATCCGGTCAGGTGCTTAAAGGTACTTACTTTTGAGTGTTTCCAGCCACATAGAAACGTGGCGGTGCACGCGCCTTTTCCATGTCCGCCTTGTCACATGTCTTCCGCCCGCGGCCTCTTGTCATGCACCGTTCATCATCATCGGCATCTGCTTGTTTCCGCTTCCTTCCAGGTCACCATTCTAGTGCTCTTCCATTCGTTCACTCACCAGGTGGGTAACCAAATATACAAGTAGTGGTAAGACCACTTCATCCACGTAGGATCTACAATACAGACACTGATGATATGTCGACGTCAGAAACAGCCATGCTGCACCCTTGAGCTGCACCTTCACCATGGCCAGTAAAAGGAGCCGCGCCGCCTTCGAGGCAGACTTGCAGGCCCGCCAGTCTCCTTACGCGTTATACGGAACCCCATTGCCCCCATTGGACGATAGCGTGCGAGACGACGGATCATATGCGCCCATCTGGAAGCAGGAGGTAACCGATGACCGGGGAAGGAAACGCCTACATGGTGCCTTCACCGGTGGATTCAGTGCCGGGTGAGCTCACGATCCATGTATAGCGTTGGACAGCACACTAAAGGCGGCCCATCTTCAGGTACTTCAACACCGTCGGGTCGAAGGAAGGATGGACTCCAGCAACCTTTGTGTCTTCGCGCCAGAACCGCGCCAAGGATGTTCGACAGCAGCGACCAGAAGATTTCATGGATGAGGAGGATGTTCGGGAAGCGGAAGAGTCCAAGAGACTGCAAACCGCCGATGAGTACTCCGGCTTTGGTTCTACAGATGCCGAAATGGCGCGCCGCGGAGGGTTGATGGACCTCCTGAAAACGAGCGGAGAAACTATGGGGGTGAAACTTCTGAAGAGGATGGGATGGCGAGAAGGCCAGGGAATTGGGCCCAAGGTGCGGCGTAGAGCTGACCTCGGGGACCGTATGTTGCAACGTGATGGAGGAGCCGAACAAACATACCTCTTCGCGCCCGAAAACCCGCCAATGGTTGCTTTCATCCATAAGACCGATCATAAGGGCCTTGGATTTGAAGGAGAGGCCCGCCTAGACGCTCGGCAAACCAAAGCGAACGAGTCCGACGATGAGGATAACGATTCGTTCTTCGGAAAGCGGCTAATGGCTCCGGGGAAGTCGAAGCAGTCCAAGGCGAAAGAACCACGACGCGGGGCGTTTGGCGTCGGTGTGCTGAATGATACTGGCTCGGATGATGAGGATCCCTATTCCTTAGGCCCACAGATATCTTATAACCGAGTGATCGGAGGGGACAAGAAGAAGAAAAAGAAAGCAAAACCTGCCGAGGATGCGCGACTACTCTCCAGTTCGTCCAACCCGCTTATTGGCAGCAAACCCGTATACATACCGAAAAGGGTCATTGCCGCCAAGGGCGCCGCCGGTTTTCGAAAGTGTTCTGATGGCCGTTTGCCTTTGGAAGGATTCTTGCTTGCGGATGGCATTTCAAGCCTCTCAATATCCTCGCAAGAGAAGAAGTATGCGCCACCGGAAATTCCCAAGGATTGGAAATCCAGCAAAGCACCGACACAGGAAAGGGATGTCTCAAACTACGTTTCTACGGCGGAGGCAGCTAAAGCTTCGTCAATGGATCCTACCGCAAGAGCCGCGCTTTTGGGAGAAGCACAACTTCCCGGAAAGTCCATATTCGATTGGATGACTCCAGAGGCTCGGGAAAGGATCGTGAAGCTTACGGGCAAGACCGATCTGCCGCCGGCTCTTGGTGAAAAGGCCCCTAAAGGCTACGAGCTCTCAGAGGCGGAGAAGCGCAAGGATTTGTGGGATCTCGTACCCAAACTGGACAAGCAGGTAGCCGTCCAGGCACTCACACGAGCAGCCAGTGGTTGGATGCCGTATGCAGAAGATCTAAGCAAACGGGACCGCTATCGAACATTTCTCCAAGTACGAGCTGGACTCCGTGACAGCCTTCCGGACCGGGTCCCCGGATCAACTACAGATGAATGGGCAGCGGAACTACACGAATTTGCGCGAGCGGCGGAGGTCTTTAAGCCCATGTCTGGACTTATGGCATCGCGATTCACCTCTGCCAGTTCTGGACCCAAAGAGTCGTCCGACAAATCTGACGGGTCTCCTTCGGCGGAGCCTCTGCTTAGCAAGCCCGCAGCCAAACCAGAGGACCCTGCAGTGGAGGCAGCGAAAATTGGCATGTTTGGCCCAATGACTCGAAGTAGCATCTCTTTCTACCCGACGCGTCTCTTGTGCAAGCGATTCAATGTTCGGCCCCCCGAGCATGTCCAAATGGATCCTGGTGCGCCATCGGGACGCGCTGAAGCCCCCGTCTCCGGGAACCGGTTCCAATCGGCAGGTTACCAGACCGCTTCCGGGCCGAAAGAGTTAGTTTCGCGGGATGTTATGAACCAACTCATGCTTGAGGCTGGCGGTGGATCTCTGGCAGCTGCAGACGCGGCCTCGCCGACGTCATCAGGGCCAGCGGGAAGTCGGGCACCGGTGGTGGTCGAGCCAGAGCGAAACGAAGCATTAGAAGCGGAGCGGCCGGGCGAGGCGGTGTTCAAGGCGATCTTTGGCAGTGATGATGAAGATGAGGATGAGGAAATGAGCTGATTGATATATTGGGGGGGATCCTGGACCTGTACAGCTAGATGGACACCCAGTCTTCGTATTTCCTGCAGGCAAAGCCAATATTGACTTTGAAACGTAATGATCGTCTGGGGATATTTGCAAAGTCCCACTCCTTCCACGTACCCGACCGCTTAAAGTTTTCTTTGGTTGTTAAAAAAAAAAAAAAAAGAAAAAGGAGATCCACCTGACAGTGGATGCATAAAAAAAGAAAAAATAAATATACAGTAGATTTCTCAATCAGAGTAGAATAATTGTTTATTTCTTTTTTTTCTTTTTCTTCTCTTTTTTATTCAATTTCTTTCCCAGCGGAGGACTGGAACTGTGACATCCGATACAAGTGAAGCCGGAAGAGAAAGCCGCCTTTGCAACTTCCCTCTTCCCCCCAAACTTCTCCCTCTCCAACTCTCCAACTCGCAGAAGAACGGTCTGGACAAGACCTGCACAGTGTGACACCGCAGGAAACGTTGCGGAGCGAGTGATCGGTTGGCAATATCAACTAGGCTCCGCGCTTAAAGTTCTCTACCGTTTGCTTAACACGAAGAAGAGGACGGCGAACCCTCCAGTCAACCTTGGGCTGATCCCCTCACGTCGGTGCGCCGTCATCGTCATATCCTCCTCTTCTTCCCCCGCTGGTTGGTCCCTTTTATTTACCTCAGCACTGGTCGATCAGCAGTACTTTTCTATTGCTTTTCTCTCCTCAATCATTGTCACCGTATTTCTCTCTTTCTTTTTTACACACTCTCTTTCTCTTTCCTCCACTCTGTGCCTCTGCATCGTGGCTGGTCAGGCCATTGCGCTGCAGCTCTCCGCATCGCCGCCACCACTCAGCAACTGGGTTTCCACCGCTTCGGGTCATACGACCGATTGCGATAACTGGATGGGAGGATCCTCCATTTATGATAGGAACGGCTCATTAGACTAGGCTGGTCTAATAAGCTCTCCCCCGCCGGCATCGTGAACCACATCTTCTAACCACCCCCCCTCTCCACCCCCCTCCTCATCTGGTTATCTCCAACTGCGTCCCTGCAGTGACTCTCACTGACCACTGACCCCCGTCGGTTCTGGCGACTGGTTGTCTTTGGCTGATGGAGCTTGAGCTTGTTTCTTCAACATGGTGAGTCTTGGATCCACCCTCTTGTTCTCCTTGATTTCTCCGTGTCCGCACCTTTATACATTTTCCCGATGCGGAGTCGCATGCCATCCCATCCTGCTATCCGTCATCTCAAAAGTCCATTCCCTGTAGCCAACCTTCTCTTTACTCTTCCACCTAGTCCTTGTACATGACATTCTGGGTTTCAAATTCTCACTATCTCTGAAAAAATATAGGGTTGTTGCTTTTCTATATCGCGCGACAATAGCCGTCCTTCCTATGCAGCGCAGGTAGTTACCGAAGAGCGCCGTCCCGAAGACTCTCATCCCCAAGCCGCCGCAACAAGCAATGCGCTCACCTCCGGCAACTCGTCTACCAGGGCACGCGGATCCCGAATCAGGGCAGAACACTTCCCACTGAGCCAGCATTACAATGCGCCTATCCGTCGTCACGTCTGGTATAGCAAACGGCGCCTATGGACTCGCACACAACTGGACCAGGAGCGCACCGAGTTCTTCGAAACTAGGGTCACGGGTCGTTCAGAGATCTGGGCGGCTTTGTCTGCGGCCATCTCTTTGATGCGCGCCGGTGATCTCGCAACAGCGCAGAGTTTCATTGATGCAGCCGGCATCACTGTCCCCACCGGTGATCTCTGCCAAGGCTGTTACGACGAGCAAGGTGTACTATACCGGCTACCACAGTGCATTGTCAGCGACCCAGAGAATATCGTGCGATCCGACGAGGAGCCCGATGACTTCGACACGGACGACGGCAAGCTATCTTCAGACGAAGCCTCCGGGGATGAACTAATAGCCGATGACATTGAACGTCGTCGGGACGAAAAGGGCAAGACTAGCGAACGTGATTTGATCCGCATCCGTGCGCGATTGAGCGATAGAGGCGGTCCCGACATCATCCTGTCAGTGGTGAAGACGATGAACGTCGGCTTGATAGCCCGCAAAGTGCAACAAGAGGCAGGGGTACGTCAGCTGCGATTAATCCCAGACCTTGTTTAAATCGGAATTGAACATGAAATACTAACACTAGTGGTTGTATAGATTCCGCGCACTCACCGTGTGAGGTTCGTCTACCTAGGCAGAATGCTCAAGGAACATGTGCCCCTAGTCGACCAAGGATGGAATTCCGCCCACGTTATCAGCGCCCTCGTTGTCCCGCGGCAATCGGTGTCATGACAGTTTCGTGGCTGCGATAGCTCACATGCAACCTAACAACCTACCTGCATGAACAGCCTGCAGAGACCGATCCACCTAATCCAAACTTTGATCTACGGTCTGATATTGCAGAATAAACAACACAACACGGCGCAATACAACACACCTCACTTCACCTCGTCCGTCCGTCCGGCCGACTAACTTTTCACTTAATGATGATAATACTCCGATACCCCAACCTACCCACCGACTTATCTCACGACAGCATTGCCATCGAATTGGCATAGCCTGCACGAGCCTGACCTACTCTTCCTCTTACCCAGATGCAAAGGCATCATCACTTCGATCATGTCTGTTTTCACGTCCATGTCCTATTTGTTTGGTTCCGCACAATACCCCAATTAGTGTTTGATTGATTGATTGATTTTTTCTTCCTCCTTGATGATGGAATATTACTTCTTGTCTAGTACTTATTACCTTAATTAACAATTACATAGTTCATTACACTTAATAATACCTCTGTAAACTACTAAATACCCTATGATAATAGTACATAGTATCTTTCCATCTGTACATAATTCCTACGTTGCAGTAGTACCATTATTTTGATATTTATTATGTCAGATAATGTACCCTTCTAATAGCCATCCATTTTAGTTTTACTGCAACATCACGATCCGTTAGTACTTAAATAACAATTAGCTTACTTCATGATAGTTGGTAACCAATGCCCATGCTCAGTTAGCGGGTTATATATAATTGTGCTATGCCATCTCCCCGCTAGAAATACCCGTAATAAGGAGGATTCGAAGCCCCACGCAAACCAACAGCATAAAATCAAGATAAGAACAGTATATGTATATTGTGATTGAAAAGAAAGAGGCAAAAAAGAAAGAAAAAGGGATATGAATCAAAGACCAACCAACGGACTAGGATATGATTTGGAGAAAATGCAAAAAAGAAATTGCTGTGCATCATCCGTGAATCGAACACGGGCCTCATCGATGGCAACGATGAATTCTACCACTAGACCAATGATGCTTGAGCTGCGGACCATTGCGTTATCTGATTCGCTGCTTGTTTTATTTTCCCCTTATTAGCTTCTATCAAGGACAGACATGCTAATGTCCTGAATTGTTTACTCATGATGAGTTAGCACATACATAATGCAAAGTAACTGAGTATAATGCTGGTTGTTTGACATATGTGTGCTATATTTCATGACAAGCATAAAATATGCTGGGACAAACAGTCAGCAAAAATGCTGACAATAAAATCTAACTGTAATATCCCGCCACATGTAGATCATCCTTATCCCTTCTGGAACCCTAGAACAATTTTCCGTTCTCGGCTTCTCTTCCCTTGGGCGTCTGTCCGGATCGTCTCTTGAACACGCGGCAGACCACCCTTGCGCCCTGTACCACGCCTCTGACCAGACTAGTGGGGTTGTAGTGCTTGACCCGGAACATGTAGTACAAGGCGACTGTACCCATGATGTTGAACCCCACGTACGCCCATCCTATTCCAAAGTTCCGCCAGCGCTGGCTGTAGTCTTTAGATTCGTTAGCAGACGTGAAAGGTAAAGGGCAAATGGGAATACATGAACGTACAAATTTCACTTGTTGCAAGGTATTGATCGGCATTCTGCAGCTGACAGTATTGACATCCTTGAGTCGCTGCTGGGTTAGATAGTGTCCCCGCAGCAGTTTGCAAGTACTGAGCCATGTACTGGCCACAGGTCTGACCAGAGGGAGGATTGAATACGCTCATCTCCTCGCTGGAACATTGAATCGACCGTCCGTGTAACCCTGTTGCCGTGATACCCGCAATCAGGTAGGTCAGTGGAGAGACCCGGTACATGAAGATCCAAAAACCTGGCAGTGCTTGGGGTGGCTGCATAACACCATTGAACGTCAGAGCCATGATAAACATGAGCGTGGCGATGGAACCTCCTGTTTCGGCATCAGGCAGCGCGGAAATTACCAAAGCGGCAAACGTCGAGGTGAACATGTAGAATTGTACGACGAAGAGTAACATGAGCCCTTGTCGGTGAGATGCCTGATTGGCTCCGTAGATTGGATAGTAGTAGCACGCATAGGCAATGACTCCGGCGAGAATTTGGTAGGGTATCTCAACCAGAACGTTGGCGACAAGGAATGCTGCCCATGAATACGCTTTGGAGGGTCTTTCTCGCACCTCGTAGAGTGACCGCTGAACCACAAATTTTGGCATTATCCTGAAACCTCATTAGCCTATTGTCGAAAGAAGTAATACGATGTACTTACTGCTGCACCAGAGTTGAGAAAATCGAAGTGAGCATAAAGGCGCTGAATAGGACATCCTGGAACCCTTGCATGTTGTTATCAGGTTTGAAAAATGTGAAACCGATGAACAAGGAGGCAGCAGTAGCCAGAATAAGCTTGGCCCATACGTAGGAAGGTTCACGCCAATACTGCTGGAAGACACGATGGGTTACGTGCCACAGCTGATTGGGGAACGGCATGGCGTATTCTCCTTTCTGCGCATCGTCATTGCCAGTTTCAGGGGCAGAGGCTCTCTCTTGGTGAATCCGATCAATTTCTTTCTGAATATCATTGGCCTGTTGGCTATCGTTCCAAACAGCTGGCCAGTCCTTGGTAGCTCTGCCAGAGGCACCGGCACCTATAATCTCCAACATATACTCGGCGGGCTTATTCATCAGCATAAGGTATCACACAGTCATTAGAGCGCTTACATTTTCTGACGGCCCACATGGCCTTGCGCCATTTGACTCAAAATATGTCAGTAAGGTTTGTGACTGCTCTCCTATGTCTCCAAAGTAAACCGTCCGCCCTCCTTTTGCCAAGAAGAGAAGGCGATCGAACTGCTGAAACAACAGCGCACTGGGCTGGTGAATTGTGGAGAGCACTGCTTGACCATGATTTGCAAGCTTCCTGAGGAAAGCACAAATAGCCCAAGAGCTTTGTGAGTCCAGCCCACTAGTTGGCTCATCAAGAAAGATCAGAAGTGCGGGCTTAGCGGCAAGCTCCACACCAATTGTCAGTAATTTCCTCTGCTCAACATTTAGACCTTCACCAGGTGTTCCGACAATAGCACTAGCAAAGTCCTGCATATTAAGCATTTCAATAACCTCCTCAACGTGTTTATACTTCTCTTTCTTGGAAACCGACTTAGGCTGGCGCAGAAGTGCGCTGAAGCGCAGAGCTTCTCTGACAGTTGTTGTAGAAAGATGCAGATCCTGCTGTTGTACATATCCCGTCTTCCTTTGGAAGCTACTGTCAAGTGGCTTTCCGTCCACGAGCATGTCGCCTGTAACAACGCCTATCGAAACACGTTTTGCCAGGACATCAAGTAAAGTAGTTTTCCCGGCGCCTGACACCCCCATCAAAGCTGTGAGTGTTCCAGGCTTGACCCATCCTGAGACATTGTCCAGAAGACGTCGCTGGCCTCCCTTGACCGGTATATCATAGCAAACGTTTCTCCACGTAAATATACTATGCTGTTCGGGAAGAGCAGATGCATCCTTCTCTGATTCGGCGGACCTGTGGGCCACGGCAACACTACCAGCCCCGGCATCTCCCTGAGGCTTTTTGTCGAGGCCGCGCATGTGGGGAGGGACATGGCCTCGCCGGAATACAAGGAACTCAGCTTTAGACGAGGTTGCCGAGTTGAGTTCTGTTGCGATCAAGTAGACCACAGTGAAGAAGATCCAGAACCCTATGAGGATCCCGAGATTTCTCCACTCATGTGCATACGTATAGTTGTACTGGGTTTCGATGTAAGCATCTCCAGAGACAGTCCTTTCACCAGCAACACTGCCACGAATGGAGCAGATAAAAGAGTCACCAGTCAGCGTCGGATATGATGGTATGAACTGTGAACACGTGAAGCGTCGGCCGTGGAATTCGTTGGCAATTAGAGCCTCGAAGGTATAAAAAACTGGGTTGATCCATCGAATCCAACTGAACCACGGGATAGAGGACATTTGAGGTGTAGGTATTACAAATCCGGTGTAGATGACGATGGCCAACACGATGACGCCAGCCATAGCCATTGCTTGTGCAAGTGTCTTCGTCGAGGCTGCGAGGGTTCGGAAGATGCCTGACATCGCAAGTGTGCTTAGGAAAGTAAACAGGAAGAATATGAAGAACTGGGATGGTTCGTAACGCTATCGTCATAGTCAATATTGTGCCCACGTCCACCCGAGTCATTGTATGTACTTACCAAGCCAGCTAGGAAGTAAAAGATGATGTTGAAAACCACGGCAGAGACGAATTTAACGGGTATATCGGACACAATGCCACCAAAGGCTTCAGCAAAAGGATGGACAAAAGCGTATGATGCTTGTTTTTCAATGATAGGCCGTTGGTCGTAAAGCGAGTTTATCTCTGTTATGCTGATGAGAGCGTTCATCCTGAGATGCAGTCAGCTAGCATATTCTCCAATTCATCCTCTGATTGTACGATAGTCGCTGTCTGGGAGAAGAACTTATTCACGTCATTCTGGGTAACATACAGCACAGCGAAGAAAAGAGCAGCTCCTTTGCTTTGAAAGCCCACAGTGGCATTTGGTGTCCTGGATGTCTTAGCGTACGTTCGAACCGCAGAGAATGAAAAAAATCTTACCCAAAATACATTGAGCCAATGATGAGAGACATGGCTATTCTTCCAATGACGTTTGTCAGTGTGGAAGGCTTATCATTCCAGATCCTATAAGGGTCAGCAGTTCCTTCACAGACAAACGAGATGTAGCAGCAATTACCTTTGATACGCCCTAATGGTACAAAGCTTTACCTGCATGGGAATCGAAATTATATAGGGACTCTTTGACCAAACATGTCGCGCTTGTTTCAGGCGCTTCATTTCACCAAACTCTTGCTCATGCTTTCCACCTAACGGAAACTCCTTCATGTGCTGTTCGATTTCCTGCTGAAGCCTGGCATACTGAGGGCTGTTCTTCCAGTACTTTTCGAAGTCATCTGGTGTCCGAGGAACCTTGTTCTCCATTCCTTCGCGTGCTTGACGCTCTTGGGGGTTAGTGACTGATGTCAGGAAGTCACCGGTTGTCTGGCGCGGCGGGCAAAGCCACCCCATGTTCTCGAAATATTCCCTTGCCTCGTCGCATGGACCGAAGTATATCTCGCGACCCTCATACAGAACGATTGCCTTGTCAAACACATCGTATATTGCTTGGGATGCTTGATATATCGCAACTGCATGGCAGGTACCGGCTAAGTTGGCCGAAACACGTAGAGCCTTGACGAATTCCAGAGCACTTGCAGAATCGAGGCCCCTAGTACTATTATCCCATGCCCCAACAGGTGCTCCGGAGACTGTGAAGCATGTCAACTGAACCGCTAGCTATACTCTTGTAGTGGCATGGTGACTCACGCGCCATCTCAGCAATACTACATACAGGTTAGCTCAAGTCGAGAAGACAGATCCGGGATAAAACATACCTAACTCGCTTTCGTTCGCCTCCTGATACACCCCTGATATAGTCATCGCCAACTGGAGGTAGCATTAGGTATACAATGAACATTCAACGGCTTTCCATTCGACAATAGAGACGCACCCTTTGTGTTGTACGTATGTGACAGGCCAAAGATAGTCAGCGCGACCTGGGTAACGTATTTAGCATACTGCTGTCGAGTAACGCCTTGCACTCGGTTCTCGGGCGCTCTCGCAGCGGCGGCAAATTCCAACGTTTGACCAACAGTGAGATGCGGGAAATGCTTATCCACCTCTTGATTGTATAGCACCTCGCCTTTGAATTCTTTGTGCATCTTCTCCATGGAGATGCCATTGAACTGGATTTCAGAGCTTTTGCGGAGCTTCAGGCCATGAAGTTCCCCACACAATGACTTCAAGAAAGTTGAACAGCCACTCCCAGGGCGTCCCAGAACAATCAGGAGCTCACCACTTCTGAGGAGGCCATCAAAGTCACGCAGGATATGCTTCTCCGGAGTGCGCTGCACACAAGGCAGATATTCCTGTGGCCTGAAAGGGGCGAGAAGAATTGAAGACACGTTGTTCTGGTATTGTAGGGCGGAACCTGAGCCCGAGACATTAAGATGTTGGAAGACGACACCAGTCGAAGGAGGTCGAGGGATTCCCTCCCTGTCCAGTATCTTCAGCACCATGCGAACCCATTTGTAGTGATCGAATTGGTCATTTGTGGGATCAAGGACTGGGTCGCCCATTTCCAGCCCTTCGAGGGTGTCCTTTCGTTCAACCGGTCCATCGACAGTCGAATCGAGAGTGCTCTGGCGTCTTGGAAAATTGGAAGCCAAGCGGGTCAATTCAGCCTTTTGCTCAGGGTCCATATTCTCCATGAAGGAGCTTTCATTGCGCGTCAATCGCGGTGGTCTTTGGGAGTTGCTCGGCCCAGAAGCCAATTCCTCATGTTTCGAGGAGCTGGGCTGCGAGCTCTCGTCGGGCTCCTCAAGCTGCGCCATCTTTGAAGACGAGACTGTTGGCAGGCTAGAGCAGGACACAAGGGTAGAACCCACCGTCAAAACCGAAAGAAAGCAGAATCTTGTGATGAAAAATTGGCCTTAAGAGCACCAAACGGGGGTGTGAAAGATTTCAGGAAGTTCAGGTGAGCAAATAGCCTGCCAGGATTTGGGTAGCGCGTGCCTTCCTCCCATGGCCAGTTTCCCTCAATTGAAGACGGATCTTCGCTTTGCCGACATCATTCACTGACAAAAGAGTTTGGGTGATGCAAATAAGATTCAGGACGCTCGACGTTTCCATTTGTGCACGTTGCAAGTGATGATGTCACCCGTAACCTTCCGTGTAACGACGGGAGACTGGGGGAGCCATTGATTCCCAATGATGCTGCTATTCGACGCCCTTAAGTCAATCAGTGGAGCAAACAAGAGCAAGGGAAGAGCTGGGGGAGCTGCTAATTGGAAGTTGAGCTGTGGTTCCGTCCCTGAAGGGGCTGGGATGTGACTATCCGGATGCGGAAGATGCGGAAGATGCGTGGTTTTCTTTTTTACCTCCACGCATTGGGTTTGCATCGGACATACTTTGTATTGAAAAATTATGCGCAGGAACTGTAGCTTAAACAATATAATCCGAGAAGCCTAAGTTCCAATTGTCGGACATCAAATCCTAAGGTGCAGGATTCTCGACCACTGCAGGTTTGGGGTTGATGATCTACCAATAATCTCCAAAGAAAGGCTAGATGTTACCGGAATAGGCGGGCAAGAATAATCAGAGTGGCATACAATGCGAATAATTCAAAACACTAGAAATAATGCCAGACAATCACATAACCGACCATTACGTGCCTGCAGCCCATCACCGAATGGACCAAACTACGCTAAGTGGCCGGGTCTTAGTTTCAGCAGGTTCTTTCGAACCGGCCTACTTATCCAGAACACCGCGTAAAGGTGCCCGGCCATCGTTCTGGTGCCTCCACTATGCTGAGATAGTTTCATCGGCCTATCTAAGCTAACGACCTATCTAAAGATACAACAACTAGCTAAAGATACAGACTAGCTAAAGATACAAGCTACCCAAAGATACAAGCTAGCTAAAGGGACGAGCTATCTAAAGCTATCAAAATCTACAGAGGCGTTTGACCACAGAATTGGCCCAAGCCTGAGCCCGGGCCAGTAGTCAGCGCCTCTGGCAATGTCGGCGTTATAAAGGACCGCCTTGGGGGCAAGGAGACGAGCGTGAGCCCAGCCCAGCCCGGTGCACCACTCTGGCACAGCAATGGCCTCGTTGCTGAGTAGTTTTGCAACCACAGTGGGATGCACTTCGCAGCAGCAAGGCTCTCCGATGCTGCGGGTCCAAATCGATATGGGTGATCACCCAGGTCGTAACTATCGTGTCGTCAGTGACTTTCTCGCTAGCAAATAGCTATAATTGGATGACCTGTAAAGCATCAGTGACTGACAGAAACGAGGAGTAGCAGATACTCAACAAGCTTGTGCCTTTGTTACCGTAGTTGTTGTCGTCGTAGTCGATGGTGACTGACGGTGGTGACGGTGACGGTGATGGCGGTAGTGATGAGGTTGTTGTTGTTATTGTCGTCGTCGTCGTCGTCGTCGTCGTCGTCGATGATGGTGGTGGTGGTGGTGGTTCTATAGCAAGTTAGAACTATGACTTGATAACAAGACCAAGACCTCAGCTCAGTGATAATCAAGCTGTACATACCAACAGGTAAATAAGTGTCGAGCTGAAGAGTCGAATTGAAGCGTTTGATTGAAGAGGAAGAGGAGATGAGAAGGGAAGGGAAGGGAAGGGAAGGGAGGGAAGAAGACAAGAGAGAAGATGGGCCTTCCTCTCAGGACTGACAAACGGAAAGAGCGAATATCGATATGATACTAATATAGGCAGGAACGCTCTTCAACTGAGCAAGAGCCATATACTCTACAAATTGAATCTTACCATCTAAATTCTCTTTATAGACACTGTAAACATCCCTTCCTCCCTCCTTTACACGCATATATACCTCATCCCAAAGTCACCATGATATCTACATAGATAGTAGATGATTTGCTAACCCGATCAACAATAGTCCATCGCCTTCCCCACACCAGCCCCACCACAACCGGCATCCAAAAACAACCAACCAATCAAGCCACACTCCAAATCAAACAATGCAAACAGAAAATATCTCCAAAAAAGAAAAAAAAAAGTTACGAATAGCTTCATCAATCTCAAGGACTTTTCCAAAACCACCGTTGTCCAGAGACCACCAAGGAAGCCCACACTCTGAACAGCGCAGGCACATCAATCGCCTCGCTTTCGCGAACACCACATACCTAGAAACCAAGTCCCCCGACTTACCATACTCGAATCAATTCCGACTTGAAAAACCACCCACCATGTCCGACGTGACCAAGACTCCCTTCGTACGGGATCTCGCCTCGAGCGGTACATACCCCTCCCTCCAATCCCTCCCTTCTACACCTCCAGAAAACCAAATCTAACGAAATAAAAACCCACAGACAAAAAAATCCGCGACAAAGCCACCGACTCCCTCACACTCTTCCTCCGCAGCAAAACCGACCTCTCCCTCATCGACCTCCTCAAACTCTGGAAGGGTCTATTCTTCTGTACGCCACACTCCCTTCCCCCAACCCACCCTCTCCCCCTACTCCCAACTAACCACCACCAAACGACAGGCTTCTACCACTCCGACCGTCCTCTAACGCAACAAGCCCTCGCCCGCACTCTCAGCTACAGCCTCGTCCCAACCCTCCCCCGGAGCGTCTTGCACCGCTTCCTCCGCGCCTTCTGGATAACCATCGGCCGGGACTTCCACTCCCTCGACCGTCTCCGTCTAGACAAGTACCTATTCCTGATCCGTTGCTACGTGGGCGTTGCATTCGAGGTGCTCCTCAAGCCCCAATCCACATCCTCCACAGCGACAGCAAACGGCGGCAAGCGCAAAAGAGAAGAAGAGCCTATATCCTCGAAGCGGAACAAGAAGAACAACAAGAACAAGAAACAACAACAACAGCAACAATCCGAAGAATCCACATCATCAACTGAACCCCAAGACTGGACCGCCCTGGAATCCTACATCAACATCATCGAAGAAGGCCCCCTCTGCCCATTGAACTTCGACCCAGATCAACCGCCCATGAACGAGAAGGAGGATTACGTGCCGATGCCGCACGGACCGGACGGATTGCGGTACCATGTGATGGATGTGTGGATTGATGAGTTGGAGAAGGTGTTGGAGTTTGAGGAGATTGAAGGGGCGGAGGAAGGGCAACAGACGAAGAAGATCAAGGGTGGAGTGCCTATGGAGCTTTTGTTGAGGCCGATCGAGAAGTTGAAGAAGGAGAGTGGGTATAAGCCTGTGCGGACTCGGGCTGCGGAGACGTTGGATGATGAGCGGTTGGTTGAGTGGGGGGTTAAGGAGAGGAAGGTGGTGGAGGAGAGTAGTGATGAGGAGTGGGATGGGTTTGATTGAGGTGTTCATTCATATCTATGTGTATAAATTCTAATGGCTCTTATATTTTTTTTCTGTTTGATCAAAACTGGTGTATAGAATTGTGAATTGGACGGCAGCGTGCGTATGCTGTTCATATGAATGAAACAATGTATATTTATATGACTCTATGGGCTATGCAACCATCTTGGTTGCACTGCTGTCTAGTATACAGAAAGCATGACCCAACTGAAACGAGAGTAAAGCAAGCCAAAACAGAAGTCTTGCGCCAGGGTATCATTAGAGTGCGAAGACCAGAATGAAGAGAAAAGAAACGATGACATCCAAAGTACCACCCGCTGCTTTTACCGCTTGTATCATCCCCAACATTCAAGGTTTGGGTCCTTCGGCTTCGTAAAGGTGTCCCGACCTCGACAGCACAGTGCCCAAGCCCTTGTGAATTTCTACTTGGAAAGCTTCAAAAGGAATGCTTTCTCCGTCAATGCTGATGTAGCCTTTCTTTTCGTGGGGGACAAGCCGGTACGCAAGAGCCTTGCGGATTTTGACGTCGGGCATATCAAAGAATGAGCCTTCGGGGATGGCGGTCATCATTTTGAGCGTGGTCAGACGACTGAGAGTCCCGTCGATGGTGACGATATCCATCAGACCATCATTGGGCAAAGAGGCGGGAAAGAAGTTCGTATCCTTGGACACGATGGCCATTTTGCCCGCGTAGAAGTTACCGAGATTCTCAGCTGGAATGACTTCCCAGTCCTTGGGCAGCTCGTCCAGCACGGTGCCGTACGCGAGCTCGGGAAGCCCGGTTGGCTGTTCTGCAGTACCCTCATCCGGACGACTAGGAGGCTGGCTCTGCGCGTAAGCACTGTAGTGATCTTTGATCGCTTGTTTATCATCCATCACGGTCTTGATTGCCAGATCGCACGGATACACTGCGCGGCGCATGATGCGCTTGAGAAATCCGTAGGTGAAACGGTGAGCGCCCATCCATCGGATATCATCCGTGCCGAGGTCGGATTCCGCGATGATACCGAAGGATTGTGACAGGAAGGACAACGTGCGAGTCTTTCCCTGCGTGATTGAGACCAAATCCATAGGCGTCCGGATACCCTTTACGATGGCCAAAGCCGCCACTGAGACACTGCCCGTTCCGCAAAGATTCCAGGCCATTGCGTTTCCGGACCCACAAGGCACCATTGCAACGGCAACTTTAGCTAAAGCTTCACCGGCATTAGGTTTCTTCGCAAGGCCGTTGAAGACCTCGTACGGCAAACCATCTCCGGAGCAGCAAATGATGGCGTCATATGCATTGATATCCAGTTGCTCCACAATTTCGACGGCGTGGCCTCCATGCGTTGTTTCCTGCACGTCCACTTGGCAGCGGGCTGCAGCAAAGACGGGAGCTGCATACGAGGTGTACAATTTGACCGCGTGGCCTTGACCACCAAACGGGTTGACCAAAACCTTGAGTCTCTTGTACCGTTTGGCGGTACCATACGCAACGGACAAGAGTTTGTTCGTCCAGGATTCTACCGCAGCCTTTTCTTCGGGTGCGAACGGGTAGCGCAGGGCGGACACCGAGACATCCTCTTTGGAGGCCGGCTCCGCATAAGTGATAGTGAGGCCCTCGGGCGACAGGTCGGCGTCCAAGACATTATAGAGTGCAATGGAGTGCGTGGGTTTGGCTGTTTTGCTGGCGATGCCGCAACACCCACGCTCGGATTTGCGCATGGAACGTTCATCTGCGCGAATGCCGGTGTTTCGTTAACACGGAAATTTGGTAAAAGGACTTGAAAGAAGCAATTGCGCACTGAGACCTACCGACAATCAAAAGAGAGTCGCCTCCAATAGTAAGAGAGACCGAGTTGGAGACTATCAGAGTCGCATCATGTTCAAGCAGCTGATCCCGAGTTTCCGGGTGATCCGCGTTGTTAAACGACGGGCGAGGAGGCCCGTTGGAGGTGGTCATAGTGCCCGGCGGAGGGCACAGCGTGGAGGAGAAGAGCCGACCGTATTTAAAGATGAGGAAAGATAGATGCGTAGAAGTGAATGTGGTCAGTAAGAATAACCATAAGAATAGTAATAAGAGAAAGACGAAGGAAACGAAAGAGTTTGAGATGAGGAGAAGGAAGGTGTTGGGGGAATGAAACGGGCAAGTCTCAGGATGGAGCGGAGAAGAGAGACCGGAGACTCGGAGAACCACTGAACCATCCATTCATATTATTCGATAATCAATATCGGCAGTCCAACTTTTATGGTGGGCTCCACTTCTTTTCCACTCCACTTGTCTGCCCTGTAAAATTGATAGGCTCCCAGGACAATGACTTGCACCTCATCATGCCATGACAGGAACACCTTTTCTTTTTGAGTCAAACCCATACATGATGCATGCCTGGATCTGGTGGGTTTCCGGTCATTCTTAGAGAACCTGCCACTGCATGCCCTGCGGAGATCGCCGCAAGCATCCATCCTTATCTAAGGAACGCGCCCAGTCCCTTCCGCGCCCGTATTTACAACTAATTTGGGGTCTGATTTGATCCTCGAAGGACTCTCGCCACTCTCATACATTCGTCTAAATAAAGCCGATGTTGCTCGAAATAATGGCCTCCGTGACATCCGGAGTCGGACAGTTGCAGCAACAGTTCCGAGGCATCACCTGCGGGGTGTGCGGGGATGGGATGCATCGTGCTTAATCAATCAACGTGGTACAGGCGAGCTTGGGCAAGTCCATCGACGGCTTCCAAGAAACCTCCTTCCTCCTACTGTGAACATAGCTGGCCATGGTGGTACATACATACACACATACATCCAATAAAAATATAAATTAGAGTCATTCAAATGGGGCATTCCATTGAGAGATAAAAAAAAGTCTTTTCTCATCCAGAATAAACAGAGTAAAAGGTGCATATAGTCAACAAATTCGTCCATTAAGAAGAACACAGAAGAGTTAAAATAAAAGAAAAAAAAAAACGCAGTCGAAAAATCGAACAGAAGAGTCATGTAGTAGGTAACAAGGGTAGTGGCTATTCAAATACGGCTCAAAGGAGATTCTCTATTCATGCTGTAGACGCCTTCAGGCCCTTCAAAGACCCCAGGCTCAAGGCCAGACCCTGAGAACGGCTTCTTATCCGTACAAAGCCGGTGATCGGCCCGTCATCTCCCTCCTTCTCGATGCTCAAGTTCGCAAGGGCATCCTCACCTGTGAAAGTCATGTTAGCGGCTATCCAATAGGCAGTTGTGGACCGAATGTCGCGGTATGGAGATCTAGTACTTACCAAATACGCTCCGGGCATATAGATTGGCACTCAGGAACCGACAGTCGCCCTTGAGAGACGCCTCAGGTGTCAAGCATGCCATGTTGGTGCTCTCCATCAGCTGCTTGAGGAACTCGCGGAGGTTCTTCGCCTTGGAGTTGATGTTAACCTTGTTCTCCCATTCAAACTCGGTCCACATGGTCCGGAACTGCGTCTCAGTGCAGTGTGCCGGTTGGATGTAGTCCATGATGTCGGCATGGATGTCATTCAGAATAACAACATGCGACTCCGTCGAGCTCGCCCCGTCGTACACAATGTTACCGAAGATCACACCCGTGTCCGTCGACGACACCTTGACTGTAGCCTGCACATTCAAGAAATCGCGAGGTCCAAGGTTGTGCGTTGTGGGCCGCTCCACCACCTTAAGGTCTCCGAGAGTCGCAAATTCAACGCTCAGGTTCTGTAGGGTCTCAAGGGTCTGGTTGACCAGAAGGACATCCAGAACGATATCGAACTGATGAACCGTGACATAAGCCTCGGCGTATACCGGGTCCGAGAAACCAGTGAGTTGCACAACACGGCTCAGCTTCGAGGACACCGTCTCCACAGTCGAGTCACCGCCAGTGGCCTTGGCCAGATCCAGCTCAATCTCCTCAGCACCTTCAAGAGCTGCCTTCTTGGTGAATTGCCGGATGGGAATGGCATCGTCAACCTGGACGGCAGTCTTAGCCTTCTCAACGGCCTCCTTAGCGGCCCTCTTCTTGTCTTCGACCTGAACCATGGCGCGGAAGGCTTTCCGGGTGTCTTCCAGGAAGGTAGTCTCCAATTCCTTCTTCTGAGAGAACTCTGCAAGCGAGCGCACACAGCACATGACGCGATCCACGGAGTCTTCATCGATGGGGGCCTTGACGAAGTGCGACTGGCCAACACGGATGATGGAGATCATGATGAGCATAGCCTCTGCACGCAGGGCGTTGGTCCGAGCAACATCTTCGGAAACCTCCGAATGGCGCATCACCAACTTAGTGAGGGTGGACGATAGGACAGTAGCAAGGTAGTAGTCGCCATCCAAGATCAGTTGACGAAGAGGGGGCTTCTGGGCGGCCTTGACAGCCTCAAGCCGAGCAGCCGCAGCAGACTGGCTGGTCAGAGCACTCTCGGTGGCATAGGTGCCATCGGCCAGCACCTTCCGTGATCCGGTCGGGGCTGACGGCTTGGAGTGGCCGTTGACCTGCTCCTTGAGCGCCGCATCCTCAGGCACTTCATCAAGAAGTCGTTGTTCCGAGGCGAGGATGGGAATTTCGCCGAGACTGGCCCTGATCCGCTTCCAGGCTTCGCGGATATCTCTCTCCTCCAGAGAGTACTCTCCGACAACCCACAGGACACCCCGGTAGACTTTGCCGGCACGGACTTCACTCAAAGTAGAAACCAGGCGATCAACAATAGAAGTTCTGAGCGCGGGGAACTTCTCCACGACCTCCTTGACAAACGAGATCACATCGACGGCGGAGTTGTTGTTGAAATCAGCGATGAAGTCCATCAGAAGATCGACAACGCTAGCTGCGATCTCCGAGAACTTAATGGCGCAGTTATGTATCGACTGGATCAACAATTGACGGTATTCGCTGTTCTACAAGGTTGTTAGTATTTCTGTGTATCACCAGCAGAACGTGCTAGCCTACCTTTTCATATTGTTCATCAACAGTCTTGGCCAGTTCCTTCTTGAGCAGCATGACAATCTCTTCGACATTCTTGCTCGAGACCATCTCCAAGGCAATGCTGAGGGCTTTCCGACGAACATCGATATCCGGGGAAGAAAGGACGCGGAGAATCTCCATAGTAAGGTCATCAAGAACACCCTCGTTGCGGATGCGTAGCTGGTCGACCCGGTCAAGGACGATAAGCTTGACATTGTTGTCAGCTTCTTTGATGCAGAGTTCGATCAACTTGCTTGCCGCGGCCTTCACGGCGACGGGGTTGCTGGTGAGTGCCGTAAGAGAAGTGGCAGCTTCGTAGATGACAGTACTCGTTGACGCATCGAGAAGGTCGAAAATCAGCCGCAGATACCGTGCCTACTGGTAATTAGCAACCGACTGCAACGGGGTTGATCTCCGGAAGCCCACCTTGTTCTGAGTGTTTTGCACAGCATCCTTTCTAATGAACTCAAGCTCAGCCAATTGGAGTAGTTCGTCCGTGTTCGGGATGCTGTCGAAGGTAGAGGCCAGGTACTCCAGGGCCTTTTGGTGGCTGATGGACATGAGGGCTGCGAATGCATTGCGCTTGCAGGTTCCGTCGGTCTCCGTATCGAGGAACGCCTGGATGAGCTCTGGAGCATCTGGGATGAGCGACTCCGAGTGCTGGAAGATAGAAGCGACAGCCCACACGGCGTTCTTCCGAACATAGGCGTGGCGGTGATCCAAGCAGGAGCGTGCGGACGAGAGGAGGGGTTCAATGAGTTCCGGTTCTCGGAGCTTGCACAAGAATCGCAGGGTGTTTCCTCGGACGTATTCGTTGGGATGCTGAAGATCGTTACGGATACCGTTACTGCGCAAAAAGATCGTTTATTAGAAGGCATGGCCTACAATGTCGGGATGCGCCAGGTGCCTTACCAGACCAGGATCATCTCTTGCTTCAGCTTGCCATTCGAGTCGAGTTTCGGACAGATCTCATAGTAGAAGTATAGGAGTTTCTTGAGGGGCTTGCTTTTAGACGGCATGACAAAGCGAATGATGTGCATGAGCAGTTGGGGCATAGGGTCGCCATTGAGCATGATTGTGATGATCCGCCTCATTGTCTCCATCTTGGTCTCATCGGTACCCTTCTCCAACTGCAGCTTCAGCTCCTGCAGAGAGGGCTGATCAGCAGTGTTGTCCAGGTGGACCAAGCTGTATGCATTTTCGAGGAAGGACGCCATGGTGATCGAGCGGTGCGAACGAATGGCCGGTACAGGGAAGGGTTCAGGAGGGAGGAGAGCTGGAAGCGGTCATCAGTACAGGTGGTTGTTTTGGCCGGTCAGGGGGTAAGGATGGGCAGACGGACTGGAACAACTCTCCCCAAAAGAATTCGATAATGTTAGAGGAAATTAGTTTAGTGTAAATTGTCTCCCCTCACCTGCCTAGCATTCATCAGAGCGAATGTTGACAATCCGGGGACATTGAGTATCAACCTGGCCATTTGCGCGGCGGAGCAAGCTGTCCGGAGTGTGTGGATGACTAAGCCCCGCCTGGACCAACCCTGCAAACCAGGCAATTCCATCCAGGCACGCGCTACGAAGCGTTCATATCCAGCTTCCTTTTTTCGTGTCAAATCCCAGACGTTGTCGGTTGAGGTTTACGAAAGATGTCAACCCAAAATGAACCATTCTACCTCCGTTACTAGTAAGGATGATCTGTGTGTGGCCCAGGTTTCCTCAGCTGCTGACAGTTCCGCAGCTCAGGTCACTCTGGGCGGTTCGGACATGAGTTTCTAGGTAGGTTCCCCGCGATGGTCTACATTTCGAGCTTCCCTATTAACAGCCCTTAAAGAGTTCGACTTCCGTACCCTTGGCGATGGCCGCAGTGCTGCCGTGCGATATGCGAACAACTCCAACTACCGCAATGATTCTCTGATTCGGAAAGAAAGTGAGTGCTAGGAAAGGGCCGTCCGATTCTACATCGGTCGCTAATGGGCGATCACTACAGTGTGCGTGAGCGCGTCGATGATTCAGGAGGTGAAGCGCATTATCAAGGAGAGTGAGATCATGAAGTGAGTCAAGCAGTGGAGTTCAATGGCGTACAAAGATGCTGATGCGACGCAGGGAGGATGACTCCAAATGGCCCCAGAAGAACAAGGATGGACGTCAGGAACTTGAGATTCGGCTTGGGAATGAGCATATCTCCTTTGAGGTATGTCTCCTGCGTTATTGACATAGCTGATAACAGATGGGAACCTGACATCTGATGTAGACTGCGAAAATCGGCTCATTGGTGGATGTGACTGAATCTGCGGACCCGGAAGGCCTGCGAGTGTTCTACTATCTCGTCCAGGACCTGAAGGCCCTCATCTTCTCGCTTATTTCGCTCCATTTCAAGGTAAATACGGCTTCGTTATTTCTTTTTACTTTGAGAGTATCGAGTCTAATTTGGGAATAGATCAAACCTATCTAAATGGTGATGGTTGTGGGAACATGAAATGGAATGGTTCACTTTCTGGGATGAATAATAGGCGTTTTCTATTTGATTGCAGCCGTGGCGGGTATACTACTAGTGCTACTTTTTCTTTTTTTTTACCTTTCCTTTTCCATATTTCCCCAAAAATTTGTCTGGCAGATTTGGGTTGCTTGAAATGAGGCCCGATGGCAAAGCGACTCACCGAAGGCGATGACGCAATGGGAGCTTGCCACTGAGGCCAACGTAGCGGAAGAATTGGAATACCCAACGACGTGTGTGGATGTAGATGTGGATGTGGATGAGTGTATGTGTGTGTGTGAAGTGTTTGATGTGTAAAAAAAGCGCCGAAAACGGAAATCAAAACAGCGAGGCAGAGAGCCATTGCATAATGGGGAATATTATTGTAGCGGGCCACGTCCGTCGGGACGAGCGTCAGAAAAGAAAAAGCTGCAAGGGAGGCCGTGCCAGGCGTGCAAAGGCTGCAAAATGCCAGAAATGCTCGAATAACCGCCCGAGGCGCCGTTTGCCCCATTTGCCTCCCCCGCGCTCGCATGATCAGTCGGTCGATTCCTCTTTGGGCAGTGCCTCGCCCCAGACTAATCGATCCTCTCTTCGTCCATCCTCTATTCTTTCCTTTGCTTGCTCCTTCATCCCCGACTTCTCCTCTTTCTCCTCTGCTTTCCACTTCTCTCCCTAAACTTTGCTTCTTTCCGCTGTCTGCGCCCTAACTCTCTATTTGCCACCCCGATCCCGCTGTCGTCCTCCCCCATTCCCATCTTAGTTCGCCCACCTCCCCCCCTCCGGTCCAATAAATCACCCCTATCCTTGAGCTGCCCTTACTGTGCTTGTATCAGGCTTGTTCTGTTCCGCCTGATCTTGTTTCACCCCTCGCCCTATCGGTGGGAATTTGCAATCTTATCGATTCCGATGTCATTCCTTCTTTAATTAGCCTCCAATGCCGACTCCGAGTGATAACACCCCGCCCTTGAATGCTTCAATCGCAGAAGAAATCTCCGCTCGCTCTACCTGTCCACCGGAGGTTGATAGAGAGAGTCTACATACCAGAGAAGAAAGGCCGTATCCCTGGGTGTCGGCGTGGGAGAGGAGAAACACCAGCGATGATGCTCCCGACAACACCTTCTCGCCAACCGGTCCATCAAACCATACCGCCTTAACACCATCAGATGGAACTTCCTTTGCTTCTACCGATGCGGACCCCGTGACGGGTGAACCAGTAGCCAGAGCGCCCATGAAGGGCGTGGGGAGATCGGAAGACGAACCTGCTGCGGGGAGACTGAGCCCTGCTGCGGAGTCATCCTGCTCCTCCGGCCCGGTATCTCCAGTCACCCCTTCATCAGCTACTTCTCTGCTAAGCTATGAATTTTCTAACATTCGGGTATGATGGCCTACTTGATCCCTTCGTTCTTTAAGGTCTCCCTTGCTGACTGTAACAGCTTTTACCCAATTATTCGTCGTCTTTTCTGCGACCGGGAAGTAGATTTACTGGTACACAGCAGTCAGACAGTCATGTCTACAGCGTAGATGTGGAGATTAAGCACGTTGATATGCTTGAATCTTATCTTTGTGGATACCTTCGCATACAAGGTCCGTGAGCGCTTACACCAGCCCACCGTATCCAATTCTAACCTTTTTGCATCAGGTCTCACCGAGGATCACCCTACTTTAACAACGTTCTTTGAAGGCGAGATCATTGGAACCAAGCACACATTCAAAACTAGAAATGAAGCATGGGGCGCGACCGAAAAGACTGACATGCAACATTGGGGAAGGTTTCCCGCTTGGCGATCGCAGGCGAAACAGGCGAAGAAACCGGATTTCACATTTCGAAATTTTGCCCAGCGTGAGCACCTTTTCATGCGTTGGAAGGAGTACTTCCTCGTTCCCGATCATCGCGTGAGGTCGATCTCCGGAGCTAGCTTCGAAGGATTCTATTACATTTGCTTTAATCAGGTGGAGGGAACGGTTGCTGGGATCTACTTTCACGCCAAGAGCGAAAAGTATGTTCTGCCTTACCCCAGTGGTATTTGTGATAACCAAGACTGACTCTTATTGCTAGGTATCAACAACTCGAGCTCAGACATGTCAAAGACTATGGTTGTGCGCCAGCCATGGAGTTCCGTTGATCTTCTTGCAGGCTTGTCCAGTGGTCGGTTCGACCACTGCAAAAGGAATTCATTTATCATCACCTACGGTTTCGCATGCTTCTACAATTAATGGCTATTACATGGTTACGTTCACTTCTGAGCCTCCCAGCCGCGATGGCTGATCTGTTACGGTTATACTGTCGGAGTTACTATTACCCCGCTCTGTTTTGACTGATGTCTCTTGACGAATTTTCTTCCGACTTGTCTTCTTCTCTCTTCTATCGGCGCAGGCTTGGTTGATACGATATGGTATGGAACGGAACACTATTGGCCAATTATATCCTCGCACTTCTTCATCTCTTTCAATATGACGCAGCGCAGCACACAACACAATGTAACGTCTTCTCCATTGACAGGGAAGACTACTAGTTGATAAACTAGGCAGCGGTATCGGGACGACTTCACTCCTTGATGTCTGCTTTTTGTTCCCTTGTGAATCAGTTGTTGCTTCTTCTCGCAATTATGACCGGTTCTTTTTTATATCTGATAGCGGTAGCGTTGGTCCCCTTTTTGTCCAAGGGACGATTTTTTCTTTTCTTGCCTGTCTGAGTGAGGAATATATATTACTATCTATCCATCTATTCAATGATTTACTACTTCACTATCATTATTAAGGATGACTGTTCTTGGCTGTGCTACGCAATCTGCTTTTTTTTGGGTATCGCGGACGGGATACTCTATCACTCTTTAAGGAGCCGGGAAGAATTCCAGCAATCAGGTCCTAGAATACAGCAGTAGCCGAGTCATTGATACTCCCTCCGTGGTAGGCTCCCTGATCAACAAACAACTGGAACTTCATTCACGAACTATGAACAGTTTCAGATCCTACATTACCATGATCGGATCAATTACTCCTCTAATAAAAGAGCACTGAACATAACATAACATAAAGAGGACGACACCGTTAAGTAATACTAGATAAATACTCTTTCGTTTTCCCGAGCACTAACTACTATCATAATTGGTAACTGAAAAAAAAAGTAAAACTAAGCCCATCCCGAAAAAAAACAGCAGCACACAGCACGTATCGTATATCACATGGCTATATTGATGAGAACCTCCCAAGGTAGAGGAGTACAAAAAAAGCGGAACAGAAATAAAGAAATTTGAACATGACAAAACACTAGTTATGACATGACATGTAGAACACGGCGACGGTGGATGGGAAGAATGAATGAATGTAAATGTTTGGCGGCGGGGTATCAAATGCAAATTTTTATGCGTGTATGAATGTAAAAGGGCTGAGATAGATGAATTGCGAACAAAGATTTGAAGGTTTGGTGTGAACAAGTGGGATGAGAAGACAATATGCGGACATCATGTTGGGTTGGGTTGGTTGTTTAAGAGGTTAAACGAAGAACGTAGATCAATTCGCTGGAAGGGAGATCAAAATGATCACAGATACGCCGAGTTCTGGCGACTGCCTGAGTGCGAGCTACCACCGCTGTTGTCGCTGCCAGGCGTGGCTGGCTCGAGTACGACTTGCTGACGGATGGAGACGATCCATTCGTGCTGGAGGAGTTCCGCTGCAGTGGACCGTTTATTGGGGTCACATTCGAAGCACCGTCGGAGGAAGTCGATACCTAGGTCGCTGAGCTGGTCTCGGGATGGCAATTGCGGCTGGTTGCCCTGGGCAATGTTGTACATGATGGCCCATTCGTTATCCAGAGTGGACCAAGGGCGACGACCTGTGGCCATTTCCAAGATCACACATCCTAATGACCAGATGTCGACGGCTCCTTGGCGGTGGATAAGTTTAGTGGTATCGCCGCGGATTACCTCGGGCGACATGTACATCGGAGTGCCGGTCATCGTTTTCTGGTTCTTGCCCCAATTGTTGTGGGCCAGCTGGGCGTCCTTGGGCACTATAGCGTCTTTGTGACCGGCGCCGGCGAAGGCATCCATAGGGACAACGGTTCTGCCCTGACGAGCGATGATCTTCGCAGCACCGAAATCAACGTATTTGATGATACCATTATGGTCAAGCAGGATATTTTCAGGCTTGATATCGCGATGGATAATGCCAGCCTGATGCAGGTACGCCAATCCCTCCAGCAACTGAAGAGCATAGACCATAATGACGGTTTCATCCTCGACACGTCCGTGCTCAAGCAAGCTGGCAAGGGACCCACCAGAACAGTATTCCATGAAGATGTAGACCTTATCGCGGTGTACTTCGATACCGTGGTAAGAGACGATGTTAGGATGATCCAAGACTTCCAATACACCCATCTCATCGCGGATTTGCTGGGCGATTTTAGGGATAAGTTGGGGGTCTTGCAAACGAATCTCCTTGACAGCCATGAGGTAGTTACTGTCAAGGTTAATACCAGCGTAAACGGACCCAAATGTTCCTCCACCAATGAATTGGCCCTGTTGCCATCGCAGAGTAACGTTCGTAGCCGAGGATGAAAGCACCGTAAGAGACCTGTCTGCTTCGTTTGAGCCCTCTAGAACCCTTCCCAATGCTTGGCGTTTAGCATCTTCGTCGACGCGTCTTTCCTCGATTTCGGTAAGATGAGCCACACGCTGCTCCCGAACAAGCTTGGCTGCCTCTTCGTCTGTAAGGACCCGCCCTGCGCCCATTCGCCTCGAACCGCCGCGCTCTTCCAAGCGTTGCTTCTCTGCCTGAGCTGCACGAGACGATCGAGCACCCATGATATCAAAGTGAGATATAAGAAGGGACATGCATCCGGCAACCTTTTGCCTCAGACGACTATACTGAGCATCATCCATAGACAGGAGGTGTCTACTGGAGGTAATAGCCATTGCGAATTCCAAAGCAGCGACGGCCCACTTGAAGGTCTTTCTGTCAGCAGCATCGCAATCATCACAGATGAACGAAACCCAATCGAGGGATAACTCGACGAGTCTATTGCTGTTCATTGCGCGTCTATTGGGATCAACGTTTGAAGAACGCTTGCCGAACTCGGTAGCAAACGCATAGCATGCTTGGACTAGATCGTGATTTTCCACGTCTTTCTCCTTTAGTTGCTCCCGTATACGGGCAACACTATCCATGATGGTCATTGACAGCTTGAATGAGATCTTCTTGATTTTGTTAAGCTCCACATTGACCCGGCCAAGATTAGCACGCTGCTCGATGGCCATATCGAGCTGAATACCAGTGAGATGTGTCAGCTCATGTCTGGCATTAGACAGTCGCTGCTGCGTCCCTTCGACCACAAGTCGCAATTTGCCCAATCGCAAGTCCGTGGGTTGTTCCATGATGCCCAGCTGCATTTCCTTGCCGGCCCAAGCAAGGGGTTTTTCCGGACGAACCACGAGGATATACGGTGCATGCGGTGTATCCTTGCTGGTGTCATCCTCACGAAATGACGTGCCTAGGATAGCTTGGATATCTGCAGGGCGATCCCACAATGCGGGGTGCGCAAAGAGATAGACACCTTTTTGACCCACAGAGACGTTTGATTTGATCATGAAATGATCCGACACAAGCAGCGACTCCAAAAAGTCGTACGCAATGTCAGCCGGCAAATTGTATTCGGTTGCATTTTCGAACAGCTGGCGCAAGAATCGGGAAAATCTGTAAAGCTTCCGTTGCCGGATCCGGGTTGAGTCCAAAACGCTTTTATAACGCTTGTCCATGTCGGCCGGATCCTCGTCATGGCGAGGCTGCAACTCCCGCTCAAAGTGGTGCATCAAGCGTTGGATTGACTTGGCAGTCAGTGCACTAGCTCGGGTTAGCCATATTCATTTATTGTATAGTATGGAAACTGTTCGTACCTGAACTGCTCCGCGACCTCGATATCTCCGCCCTCAAGTTGTCGGCCGACCTCGTTGGAAAACTCCCAATCCTGCTCTAGAATTTCCGCTTCTTTAAACGTGTTCTTATTTGCAGTCAGCTTCCAGTTCAGAAGCCGGAAGTAATACTTCATCGCATCCAAGACGACTGCGTCAAAACCTTCATCAATGCAAGGAGGCAGGTCCCAGCCAGGCTCGGGTCTGGCGATATCCAGATAATGCCGTTTGATATCAACCGCCACCTTCATCAAAATCTGGAACTGCGATATCATTTGATCGACTAAGATGGCAGACTGCGAAGCTGGGTCTTTCATATTCTTAGCGTAAGATAGTCGAACCCGTATAATCTCCTGTATGAGACGAGAGGGGAAATTGATCAAAGTGAGGAGTTCTTCGATATAGGGAGGTAAGTGGCGTTTAGCGAAGGAACCCGCATTCTCAATCAATGTATTCTTTGCTTTTTGGATGACTTCTCCGATGCCGTGGAGCATGTTATGTTTCCCTTGGAGGGTTTTGAGGCCATCCTCCTTCATGATGCGATCAAGGAAGGATGTTTCGTCGGAAAGGTCGCTATTGATTGATTTCGTTCTCGATTTGTTGAAATCCAACTCATCGTTTCCAACCCATTTCTGCAGGATAGCCAGCTCGGTGTTGATCAAGATAGTCGTGTTGTGCCAAGCTAGAACAGCGTCGCGACTCGAGTGAAACTCCTCCGAAGCCACTCGGGGATGGGCAGTTTCCAACTCCTTGTGAGTAGAATAAAGGCTCTCGCATCGTTCTATTTGTGCGACAATATCCTCAACCTGCTTGATGGGTGGCTTTCCGATCTCTGTTTCACCCTTGATCTCGAATTTGATGATTTCTTCGATGACGGGGCCAAGGCCAGCCCTCGCTTCTTCAATGAGCTTCCTCTGCAGTGCAACACTCCTCCCACATGTTCTGGCTCTGACACCCAACCATATTGCGTTGTTCTGAGCCGACGATCGTTTCGATTCAGTAGACCCGAGCAACCGCTGCTTCTCTTGCTTCACCACGTCTCCCTTTAACACCGATGAAAGCATAGAATGCCATTCCAGCCTCTCTTGATTCCGTGGATTCTTGAGTTCCTCGATCGTTGGCTGATTGTCGTCGGTCAGGAAGAGCTGAATGTCCGGATCGTAGGCATCGTCTTCGAAAGGCACCTCGGAGGATGGTGAGGGTTCTTCGAGATCGGA